ACTCTTCCTCTGCAAGTTTCTCTCAAAATACTAACCCAACAGAACCACTTGTTTCATATCCTACAAAAAATATAGAAGAGGAAGAAACAGTGGAGTTACCTATACAAAGGTGTGTTACCACACAAAAATATTGTTGTCTATGCGGAAAACGTCAAAAACTTATTACAGTACCATTTTAAGCCCGGTTGCAAGTGTGACGTCCGGGTCACTATCTCAGGTACGTCTGAGGCGGACGTAATCTCAGGCGCTCTATTTGGTTTGCGTGCGTACGCTTAAACCGGGACGAGCGATTGGAGAATTAGAGCTTTTCTACTTCGCGTTTCGCGTAAAAATAGTGAAAAATAAACTGGACTACAAGCCTTCCATCAAACACCAGGGTCCAATGGAATCGGGACTTGGATGTGAAAATCCCAAACCTTGCCAGAATTATCACATAAAAAGTATTTTAATTTTTATTTAACGGCGCGACTGTCTTATTGAAAAAGTATCCCAATTCCTGCTGAAATACTTTTTCGAAGACCTATTTCTCACGAGTTTCGATCGGCTACTATATATATACTACTGTATATATATATATATATATATATATATATATATATACTACTGTGGGCAAAAAGTAAGGTGAATTTGTTTGTAAAATGAAAAATCTTTATTTATTCTTCTACATCAATGTCATCCCCTTCGAAGTAATCCCCTCCCGATAAAATACACTTATGCCAACGTTTTTTCCAATCCTCGAAACATGCCAAATAGTCCCTTTCCGGTATAGCCATCAGCGCCTTCTTCGATTCAGCTCTTATCTCCCAATCGACTCGAAACGCGTTCCCCGGAGTGGTCTCTTGAGTTTTGGGAATAGCCAGAAGTCACACGGAGCCAAATCAGGCGAATACGGTGGTTGCGGAACGATATGCGTCGAATTTTTGGCGAAATGGTCACGAAGAACGAGTGCAGTGTGAGATGGTGCAACGAGATTTGACTTTTCGTAGGCCCAAATGGTCTTTCAAAATTGTTTTCACAGATCCTTCTGATATTCCGATCATATCAGTAAGGTCTCTAACAGTCAACCGACGATTTTCGAGCACTAATTCCTTCACTTTATTGACGTGTTGGTCATCTGTTGACGTCGATGGTCGTCCGGAGCGCTCCAAGTCATCAACACGTTCTCGACCCTCTTTGAAGTCTTTGTACCACTTATAAACATTTTTCTGCGACATGGTAGAATCACCAAAGGCCTTCTGCAACATCCTCAACGTTTCCGCAGCCGAAATTTCATTCCGCAAACAAAATTTGATGGCACTTCTTTGCTCAATTAAATCAGACATTGTAAAAATCGAAACATGCACTCTTGGTCGTTTGGTAAACACAAGCGTAAATATATTACTGATGATGACATTGACATGAAATTTGTCCCAGATGTCATTCGCAGTCCTACCAACTCAAGAAAAAATGAACTAGCCCGAAATGTTAAGCCCGCGAAGTTTAAATTGAAAATTCACCTTACTTTTTGCCCACAGTAGTACTCTAACAAGAAGAGGAAAAGGAGAGATAGTGAATAAAATTTTGTTTCAACTTACTTTTCTTTTATTTAATTCACTGGTACTGGGAGAAGTCAATCTGGACCTGGCACTTGGTCAATGAGATGCACTTAGAGCCTTGCGAGGAGCGTGAGAGAGAGCGATTTTCGCTTGCGCACGCCCTTTTAAACCCTGGGGGTGGTTGGGAGGAAAATCCCTCTTTCAGTCCCTCAAAATTTGGGAAGAGTGGAAATGCCAGTGAATTCTAATTGGCCAACCGAGATTTTCCCTCCTTTTCTCTTTCGGATTTCGGGCCCTAATTGGTTCGGGGGCGTGGTGAGAATTGGGGGTGCGCGTTCAAGAGTTTGGGCCTTATCTCGCTAGATGACTCTCCAAGTACCATTTTTATTACAGTTTCTCTTATAATTATTAATTTATTTACTATATAAAATTATTACAATTAATTCTTAAAAATAACGCAAGTTCCTTATTATTTAACATATTTTACGCGAAAATCTTTTGATCCTACATGTTTACAATTAGTAACTTAATTAATTAACTCACTTCGTTGTTTAAATAAATTGGAACGAAAAAAGGGTATTATTTAATTGTGGACTATATAACTGATTTGCTAAAATTCGTTCAAGTAACTGTTTTCGACTATTTACCTCATTTTTCTAATTTGTAATTTTAAAACTTTGAGTTATTTTCAATGATTGCGCGGCAACTATGTTTCTAATCAAAAAGTGTGTGGGAGGTTTCAAGAAGCTGCGAAATTTTCCTATCATGCTGTTATTTTCCCGATTCATTTATGTAAAATTAGTTATTAAGGTTTTTTTTTTATATAGCAAAAGTTTTGACTTCTAAAAGTGGAAATCTTTTGGGTGAAATCGAATAACAGGATACAGGTGGAATTCCGCGGCTCCTTTACTCTTTATCTAAACCTACTCAAAAAAACTTTACGATCGTTCGAGGTAAACATCGGAAAGCGCGCGATAAAGGGACGACTATTTTCACGTGTCCTCCAGCTGCTTCAGCTGAAGGCTCTCCTTTGCTAGTTTACCGAGTTTTAATTTAAGCTACACAAAAGTACATGAGGAAAAAAAAAATAATTGGCTAATAAACGGCCCGACGTTACACAAGTCTTCACTGTGAGAAATATCTTAGTTTCCGCTGATAATCTATGTTGTAAAGAGCATCATGTCAAGAAACATTTCTACGAGGAAGATATGCATAGTATTACAATAGCATCTAATTTCAGCAGGATGAAGGGTTCCGACGTTTCAAATATTTTACTGAAATGCAGAATAGATGTTGACAAGGAGCTGACCGATAAAATCGGAGATTTCTCCTTACCCAAAAGTCGTGTTATTATTTTGACGGGTTTGACGTGGGAAAATCTTTTCATGCTACGCGCAATGATAACATCGCTTCGAAATTCAGATTCTTGAAATGTTGCTCAAGCCATTGTTGTATTTCTATTTAGAATGCGGACAGGAAACTCTAATAACTTGATTTGTTCTATACTCGGATTAGAACGTCGTCAACAAGTATTAGATTTTTCGATTTTTGTATTGGAATCATTAAAGAGAGATGTGCTACCAACTCGTTTTGAAATAGAAGCAACGAATCGTGAATACTTGATTAAAAATCACACAGCCGCGGAAGCGAATGAGTTACGCTTGGTGACAATAGTACGTTGGGTCGTTCAAGCAGTGCATGGCGTAATTAGTCAAAAATTCAGACTGCTACATAATCAATTAGGCAATAGCTTGGCAGAAGAAGCAGAATCTGAACGGTGGGGTTGGGTAGACGAAAAACTAAATTCGAAGAACTTACTTCAAATGACCTTTTAGATATCCCAGAGATGACTGACCAGGATTTGAAGATTTTTTTCACTGGGGCTTACGATATTAGTTAGGCCAAGCAATTTCCTATTTAGCCGAATTGATGGATGATGACGGAAAATTGCACGTAGATTATCTAAAGGAAATAAAGACTATAATTAAGATTCAAGTTCGTTCTCGTCACATATCTGCAAAAAAATATAACTGCTATATCGAGAATGCACCAGAGTCAATTGGAGCTGCCGGAATCAAACGATATTGTTGTAAATGTGCAAATGGGTTGAGAACTATTGGCTGCTGCTCACATGTAGCTGCAATAATTTATTTTCTATCTCGTGCAAGGTACTTCTCAAAAATTATAAGGCCAGCTGAGAAATTGACAAAAATTTATGAAAGAAAAGAGATGGTTCCAGTCATCAATGATGACAGTGATGAAAACTAAATTTAGATACATTGTAATTTAATAATTGTATTATTAATAAATGATCGCTCTTGAAAATAATGTCTTATTGATTTCCATCTTTCTGGGTTTGAAATAGGCGATGTCAAATATTTTATATTTCATTTTGAAACAGGGATATATCTTTTTTACTGCTTAAAATTACCATCAAAGATGAGGCTTGCCTTTTTGAATATTATGTCATAAATGTATACATACAGTGCCTGTTAATCGTTGTGAAAACTATTGAATAATAAAGAAATTATTTCTAAATGGTTTTTCGATACTTCCTGATGAAGATTTTCTTCAACTATACGCCAAGTCTATTGGGACAAAGAAAATAAAAACAGAGTTTTCATTTATTTTGTGATCATATTGAGTATAGGTACCTAAATGATTGATGCGATCAGCGCTTGATATGGGCCAGGCTGTTTATGTGTAATCGCAAAGTAGCTATGTGTAATTGGAAAGTAGCCCGAGAGTAGTTCCTGAAACGGCATTTCAAGAAAATGCAAAAGAATCAGTCATGCACGAGAAGCCTCTGTTGTTCATCGTCCTTATAACCGAAAAAATACATGGAAAATGGATTTTTTATTTTTTTTTTTTTTTGGTATTCCACCTCATCTAAAAATCTGAAAAAATTCAGGCATATACTCGTAGAATAACGTAAAATGAACAAAATATATTTTTTCCAGCTAGTTGTTTTTTTTGTTTTCTTTTAAATAAATTGTAAATGTTTCAAACTGATTTAAAAATTTGAATTTCGCGCCAAAAATTTTGAAGAACTTTAAAAATCCTATAATTTGCATTTTTTATTTTTTTTCTAGCTCAAAAATTGATCGAGATATCATCAAAAATCTATTTGTCAGATTTTTGGGTCTATAGGGCCCCCCTGGGCATCTAGGGGTCTGAAATTTTGGCTAGGAGAGTCTTTTATCAAGCCCTACAAGAAACTGCTATTCCGTTGACGAAACCTTTGGGGGGGGGATTTGACCATCTTATCCAGCTAAGCCCTTTTTCAAGAATATTTTGATCAATTTACATGACTAAACTGAAGATTTGGTTTATAATAATATTTGATTTTCTTACGGTTAGGTAAATAGTGTTAAATGTAAATAATTAAATTAAATATAAATAAAAAACTTGTTTGTTTGAAAATAAAATTTTATTCAAATATTCTGAAGTAATTTTGTTACTTACGGTTTTATCGGTCATAGGAGGTAATACTACGGTTTTTTCAAGTATCCGCATAACAATTTTCCAGAGCTCTTTTAGCAGTCGTTTTAAAACAGTCTTTTCGCAAGATTGAGCATATAAGGAAAGACTACCGTCTAATAAGTCCATCAATGGTCTAAGAACTTCATCAGCTTCTACGTTGGTTCTTTGAGAAATTTGAGGGACTTGACTATTCCCCTTGATTGCCACCAATAAATCGCCAAGTTCTTTCACTGAAATCGTTATTCGAGGCTCAAGGCTCTTGGCAAACTGCATAGCTAAATCATCTAAGGCACTATTCAATTGGGCTTGAAGCTCTTTCAATATATTTGCTGCATCTTGTTCTAAATTTTCTCCACCCATCGACTCGAACATTTTTTCTAATTGCACTCGTAATTGCTGGATATTGTTCATAAGAATACAAGCCTGTAATTGAGAATGACAATAATTTTAACATATCGGTTCAAAATAAATTATATTTCATATTTATTTATAGATTTCAAATATAAATTATCATTTGATAGGTGTGCTTTTAATTAATAAAGAGTACTTTTCTTTAATTTATCAGGAGTATTAATTGTAAAACTAAATTAAATAAATTATGATATTATACAAAAGGAGTTTTCTTATCATTACATATAAGAAAGAAAGTTAATATTGAAGAAATAACGGTTTTGAATTTGATACATAAATACTAAATATTGAGGAATAGTATCCTTGGATATATATCCATGGAGTTCAGACTGACATGAGAACTTAGCGGTCACGATTTTTTTATTGAATATTTAGTTAATCGAGGGTCTAGAACTATCAACAACTTTTGTGCATGTTATGTTGTGGACTGCATATTATGTGCTAGCTCTGTACATGATTCAACCGTAAAAAATTTAGATTATATGCAGGATTCTCTAAATTATCAACAAAGGATTGGATAGTAAAAGTATTCATATATGAGAAAAAATGGAAATAAATTTATCACGAGATAGTAATATAACCACATTGGCTATACCTCGTTTTCATTGTTTCAATCGAGTACAGTGACTGAACCATGAGAATTTTAGTACCATATCGCCCTTTCCACTTGTTTACCAACTTAACATTAATGTGTTTCTTTTCATTTTCTATAGTTTTGCCAAACACTGCATTGTTGAGCAGGAAAAAAAGGACATAGGCGAAATGATTGTAGACGATAACGTTAAATTTCTTATATTTTTATGTTATATTTACGTTATATTAGTTAAGTTCCGTCCAGAGGAAATATAAACAAGTTTTTGTCAGAACGTCAGTTGAGAACATGGAAACAGGCGATAAAAATTTTGACAGGCGGGACCAAAAAAGAGAATCTGTTTAAAATTTCAGAATATACTTTGCAACAACTCAAAGATGCTTTAGGTCAGAAGTTAACAGTGCATGATTTAGATCTCAATAGAGAGGCTTTACAAAAAGTATGAGTCAGATATGTCTTGGTTTAAAGCTTCATCTAATTGGATATTACTACTCGAAAAAAAGCATAAAATTGTATGGCGTAAAATAACTAAATATGTGACTAAAGTATCTATTGAAAATGAGGCTAGTTTAAAGTTACATTGTCAAAATTTTATCAAACACATAAAAACAGATGTATCAACCAAAAGTGCAAGTAACCTATATAATTCCGATCAAAGTGGATTCAATTTAGTAATGCATACTGGCAGAACATTGAGCGAAAAAGGTAAGAAGACAGTCGAATCAGTAGTACAATCAGTATCATCGACTATGCATAGTTATACGATTCAACAGACAATATCTGCAGAAGGTACATTGCAATCTAACTTTTTGATGGTATTAAAAGAAACAAACAGAGAGTTTGGACCCATTTTTTCAAAAAAACTATGGTTGCAACATGTATTTTTTCCTAACTGTGGGAAAATAGCAGTTTTATTACTAAACTCATGGAGTTAACAGTGTGAAAGAACTGTAAGAGAAGAGACACCAGCAGGTACAAATGTCGGGGTTAAAGCGTGGCAGGGTAACCAGCTCGAGGGTTGATGAAATTCGGGTGTAGGACTTCGGGGTTAGATTGAGGCAGGGTAACCAGCTCGAGGGTAGATGAAATTCGGGTGTAGGAGTTACGGGTTAGAGCGTGGCAAGGTAACCAGCTCGAGGGTTAAGGAAATTTGGGTTAAGAGTTTGGGGATACAGCGTGGCAGAGTAACCAGCTCGAGGGTTGATGAAATTGGGGTGTAGGAGTATGGGGTAAGAGCGTGGCAGGGTAACCAACTCGATGATTGATGTAATTGGGGTGTAGAATTTACGGATTACAGCGTGGCAGGGTAACAAGCTCAAGGGTTGATGAAATTGGGGTGTAGGATTTACGGGTTACAGCGTGGCAGGGTAACCAGATCAAGGATTGATGAAATTCGGATGTAGGTGTTCGGGGTTAGACCCAGACAGGGTAACCAGCTCGAGGGTTAATGAAATTCGGGTGTAGGAGTTCGGGGTTAGATCGAGGCAGGGAAACCAGCTCAAGAGTTGATGAAATAGGGGTGTATGAGTTACGGGTTATAGCGTGGGAAGGTAAACAGCTCGAGGGTTGATGAAATTGGTGTGTAGAAGTTACGAGTTACAGCGTGGCAGGGCAACCAGCTCGATGGTTAAGAAAATGAGGGTTAAGGGTTTGGAGTTCCAGCGTGGCAGAGTATCCAGATCGAGTGTTGATGAAATATGGGTGTAGGAGTTACTGGTTCCAGGGTTGCAGGGTAACTAGATTGAGGGTAAAGAAAATTTGGGTTAAGAGTTTGGGGTTACAGCGAGGCAGAGTAACTACCTCGAGGGTTAAGGAAATTGGTATTAAGAGTTTGCGGTTACAGTGTGGTAGGGTAACTAGCTCGAGGGTTAAGGAAATTGGGGTTGAGAGTTTGGGGTTACAGCGTGGCAGGGTATCAAGCTCTAGGGTTGACGATATGCGGGTGTAAGTGTTCGGGGTTAGATCGAGGCAGGGTAACCAGCTCAAGAGTTGATGAAATAGGGGTGTATGAGTTACAGGTTATAGCGTGGGAAGGTAAACAGCTCGAGGGTTGATGAAATTGGTGTGTAGAAGTTACGAGTTACAGCGTGGCAGGGCAACCAGCTCGATGGTTAAGAAAATGAGGGTTAAGGGTTTGGAGTTCCAGCGTGGCAGAGTATCCAGATCGAGTGTTGATGAAATATGGGTGTAGGAGTTACTGGTTCCAGGGTTGCAGGGTAACTAGATTGAGGGTAAAGAAAATTTGGGTTAAGAGTTTGGGGTTACAGCGTGGCAGAGTAACCACCTCGAGGGTTAAGGAAATTGGTATTAAGAGTTTGCGGTTACAGTGTGGTAGGGTAACTAGCTCGAGGGTTAAGGAAATTGGGGTTGAGAGTTTGGGGTTACAGCGTGGCAGGGTATCAAGCTCTAGGGTTGATGATATGCGGGTGTAGGAGTTCGGGGTTAGATCTAGGCAGGGTAACGAACTCGAGGGTTGATGAAATAGGGGGGTAGGAGTTACGGATTACAGCGTGGCAGGGTAACCACCTCGAGGGTTGATGAAATTCGGGTGTAGGAGTTTCGGGTTATAGCGTGGCAGGGTAACTAGCTCGAGGTTTAAGGATATTGGGTTCGGAATGGTAGGAGATTAGGGTAACAAATGAATGCTCTGTTCACTCTCCAATGAAGGGTTAGCAGCACCTGGCGACGGATACTGTATACTTTTGTGTTAGATTTTAATCGGAATTTCATAAACTTCATTTTTTCTGAAAAAATTTTGCAAGAAAATATTTGAAAACATAACTTTTCTTTCAGGCGATTTATGGGGTTGCAACCCCTGTATACGAAATCCATATATATAGCTGAAATTTTTTAAAAGAATTTTTTAGAGTTTGTTTCGTCGAAAACTGTGCATAAAGTACGAAAATTTGGCTATATAATGGTGTTGTGGGGTAACTTTCGGGGGTAGCTTTCACCCTCTATATAGTTTTTTCCGCAGAACAAAAGTATACATGTGTTTGGCTTTTTTTCAGCGTCATAGAACATGAAATAACCAGCATAATCTGCGATTAACTGCTTATATTGTATTAATAACATTAAGGGGTAGTTGACCCTCGAAATAATAGATAATAGGAAAACCCCGAAACACGTCAATTTCGTTTTATCATTTTCTACTAGAATATCATTTTTTAAATTTTGTTAATATAATTTTTTGATTTTGCAAGGTAAAAATATACTTAAAAATACAGTTTTTCCTTTATACAACGTAGGGGTTGCAACTCGGGGGGTGGCCGGGGACCAAATTTATGTGTGTTTGTTATTCTTTTTATATGTATCTCGTGTTTTTTGTTTCATAAAAAAATATTCATTACAACTAAAGATATTGCTATAGAACTGCTTTTGGGGCTAATTTTTGGGGGTATGTTCAATCCGTTAGATAGCTTTTTGCGCCGATAAAAAAATACGTGTCTTTTATTTTTTTACGAACTATAACATATCTCAATTGCAGAAAAATCGGAGACGGAGGGTTGGGGTGGTTCCCTAGTTAGTGCTGTAGAGGTGGAAAGAACATAACCTCGAGGTGGCTATTAAACATAGCCGCTGAGTCATATCAGTATGAGAGAGCATACGTGCGGTGTTGGTCTCGTAGCAGTTAATGAGTTGTAAGTATTTTTAAAGGAACATAGGAACATAGCCGTAGCGTGTATATAGACCGTAATTGTCCGGACATTTTTTCACGTCACATTGAATATAAAGGATGGGGTAGAGTAAGAATGTGTGTGGAAAGTTGAAAATGCTATATACATGATGCTTATTAAGACGCTGCTATGCATTAAATTGTGCATAGCAACCATGGCGTGTGCTGAACCCTTTATACGGTAAGCAAAACTTTTATCTTAGTCACTTATTATTCTAGATCACTTTGATGATTTTTTAAAATTACAGATTTGGTATGAAAATCGTCATTAACTAGCAAACGTTTAAGTTCAACGATGAACCGATTTTCAAAGAGCTGGGATTAATGAATTTAAATGATGATATTCAGCCAGCACACTAAGTTTTTCTCTTACATTTCCGTGGCTGGTCTGTCACGTCATTCCAAGAGATAAAACTCTTGGTTGATTGCCAATTTCTATGGCATAAATTGGAATGCAATTACTACTCCATATGAATAATTAATCATATTATTACTTCTAATCATATAAAATGTTATGAATTTTAGAGCAAAGAAATGAAAACAACTCCATATAATCGTCATCAACACATAATCAGTCGTTTAATAATCGGAACAGATTCTGTAATGACTGTTAATGAGAAACATAACTTCAAGTGGTTAACTCGATGTGTAGATCATGTCTTTGATCTGGAAAATGTTCTGTCTTCTTCTCTGTATGATTCAGGTTTCCAAGATTTTCTTGTCCTCAACTATTATTAACTTGGC